TATATATATATATATATATATATATATGTGTATAATCACTTTTAATGAATAAAAATTGAAAAGCCACTGGGGATTTTTTTTTTTAATTTTTATTCTTCTTCTTTCCTTCTTTTTTTTTATTTTTTCCTTTGCTTCACCTTTTTAACCCGACTCTTTTGTCATCCTTGTCTCGCATTCGTTCGTAAAACTGCTATTAAATTCGTTATCGTATATTGGCTAGGTTGGTCTTCATCGTCATCGTCATAGTCGCGTCTCTCGTTCGTGGTATATTCACAAATAAAAGATAAGAATCGCGATTTGAATTTTTAATAAGACCAAAATAACTGGTTATACAGAGAAAAGAAACGAGGAATAATTGAATGAAAAAGAAAACAGAATATGATGTTGTAAAATTTAAAATATTACAAAAATCATTTTACTTGTATTTAATTTATATTTTTAATTTCTTCTTAGGATCACGTCCTGTTATCTTTAACTAAATAACCTAAAGAGGTTATTTTGTTAGTTCTGAGAGTAATTAATTTTTTTTTTTACCGAGGGTAGGTCGATAGCCTTGCCTTCGAACCCTCCCCTTTATCTGGGACTTGGGACATATATTTATTTATATATTATATTTAAATTATTTAATTTATTTTATTAATAACCATTCAAATTAAAATATTAAGAATTAATACAAAAATTAACATATAAATATAATTAGATATATCTCAATCACATTTCATATGAAATATTTTTCTATAATAATACGATAAAAATGATTAACAAAATACAAGGATAAATTGAAAAGTTGTGAAACTATCTCCAAAATAAAACTGACAATGAGTTTGTCCTCCTCTTAAAAAAAGAAAACAAAAATAGTTTCCACATGTTAAGATAAAAACTTATCAATCTACCCACGTGTGTATGCGTGACTTATTAAAAAAGAGAAATCCCTGAATGCTTAGCAGTAATTTAATACGCACACGTCATACAGTACGTGAAACCGACATTGATATAGTACACATATGCAATATACACACATATGCAAATATACTTACTAACGAACCATAACTCGTTGCATTCGAAGAAATTTAAGTTTTAAAACGTAATCTCTTATACACACACACACACACACACACACGTACAAAATCACAGACACATAAGTATAATACATTCATATATGTAGTCAGAAATATATATACTTATCTTGTCAAACGTTAAAATATGTAACAGCCAATAGAAACGTGTCGTATAAGCTTTCCTCTTACTTTGTAGATGCAACAGGACCGGAAACGATCCGACGTCGATATCAATTTGACAGAAATCGCAAGAGATTCTCCTACGAAATACGTTCGTTCATACACAGAGACAAACATATACATACATACATACATACATATATATGTATATACACACACATATTCTTGTACATGACGATAATATCGTGTCGATCGTAATACTTTTCGATCAAATATAACGTGTCATATAAGCCGGATATCGATGCCCGGAAAATTCATACCGATAGATGTCTAATATTAGTAGACACATATATCTCTGTAATTACATTCTTGAATACATATAAATTTATACATCTATAAATATATATATATATATATACTGCACATAACACCTTCTATATATAAACATATTACATATATAAATTTGATATGCCAATTGGATTAATATTTGTTGACAGTTATATGTATTTCATTAGATTTTAGAAAATGTATATATATGCTAGAATGCTGTGACCACACGTTGCTCTGTGGCTTTGTTATAAAATATTGATTTAGTATAATTCTAAACTATTTAGTAAATTACACTAACAACACACAAAATAATACCACAATTATAATGGAATACATAAAATAATAATACTCGAAAATATACAAAAAGAGTAAGGTCTTTAGTAGCACAAAATATTGAAAAATATTGAATACGAATATGAACTTCTAAACATACTTCAAATTTAATACCTGTAATATTCTTAAATTAGCAATAAAAAGTAAAAAAATAATCGCCATAAAAACTATCCTACATTCTAAGTTGAAAAAAATTACATAATAAAATCAAAATTTCATTAAGATCGGTTCAGTAGTTTCAAAGTTCATTGGAAACCAACAATGTAACACACTGTATTTTTATATATAAAAATATAAATTTACATACATTACATATGCACACATAAATCCTCTATATAAAATGTATTATAGATATTTAAAACACATAAAATATATTTAAAATATATATAAATTTATGCATTGATATACACATACATCATATACATGTATATAACCTACAAAATAGAAGTGGTAAGCAATATCGGAGAATACTTCAATGCTTCGGTAATATGCAATACACTCATCTCTCTCTTTCTCTCACACACAGACACGCACACACATGCACACATTGTTTCTATCTCTATTTTTCTCTTTCGAAACTTTTAACTTTCTCCTTCACCCTCTTGCAGTAATACACCGAGATCGATCAGTGGGAGATGATACGTGTCACTCTTCATGAAACTTCATTCTCTTTGCTATACGAGATATTCGTTTTTATCCCTCTCTTTTTCTCTTGTAAATTCTTTCGATTATATTCAACATTTGACTCTCCTCTTTGAAAATCAAAAAGAACACTCATAAATCATTCGCATATTATAAACCACCATTTTCTATTTATAAATGTATACCATCGAGTTTAATTGAAGAGTATTATAAATAAAAGTAAAAGGGGCTTGAGAAAAAGATAAAGAGATAGACAAAAAAATGTTTGCTAATATTTTACGAACCATAATATCGTGTTACTCTTTCTATCTACCTCTCTCTCTCTCTCTCTCTTTTTCTCTTTCTCTTTTCGATTAAAAGAACGAAACGATAAAGAAGAAGAACGCGTTCCACCTTTTATCGTTCACATACCACTCGAAATGAACTCGAGATAACGTTAAGAGACATTCCAATGAAAGAGTAGAAGGAGGAGTAGGAATAGGAGGAGAAAGAAGAAGAAAGAGGATATAAAAAAAGATCTTACCATAGAGAGAAAGAGAGATAGAGAGAGAGAGAGAGAGAGAGAGAGAGAGAGAGAGAGAGAGAGAGTGCATTCGTCACGATGAAAAGCAGATAGCAAAAGGCTCAGTAGTTGTATCTGGTCAAGTACAAAAGTGGCAGTAACGAATAACCACTGGTGCATTAGCTCGTAACGCATATTAGTCGATTCTTCTGATAAATAGTATCGTTTACTTCATACACACACGTATCTTTATATGCGTGTTTATATGTGTGACTGTATTAGACGTTGATGCGTAATGGTTTTCGTTACAGTTTCAGTGCTATGAATTCCCTTCTCATTTTACGATCGTATTAGGGAAAGTTCGATGCTATACTACTACTACTGCTACTACTATTACTACTATTACTACTACTATTACTACCGCTATCACGGTTGGTGAGTTGCAATGAAAAGTGTAATTAAGATGCATCGTAAATACGACGCGAATATCGAAGAGGAGTTGGATTCATTAACAGGAAAGTTAATTGAAAGATTGTTACCTTAGTAATGAAGCGCTAAACATTACTTACTAATTAGTAAATTTCTTTTTTTTATTTCCTTCCCTTTCTTTTTTATTGTTCTTATTTTTGTTTTCTTTTTCTTCTTTTCTTTTCTTTTCTTTTCTTTTCTTTTCTTTTCTTTTCTTTTCTTTTTCTTATCGTTTAGAAAGAATCTAGTAAAGGAATGCAAAGAACTTATCTCGTAGGAGTGAAGATATTCTCTATCTCTTTTTCCTATTGGAACGGTAACGGTAAACCGTAGAAGATTGTATGGGAGGAATGGAGAATGGGTAGGGGAGAGTTTGAGACTATCACGAGCTTAAGGTGTAAGAGTAATGGTGAACAATACTCGGCCGATGTTATTCAGAAAGCCTCGTGGAAAATTATGTTTGACCCGGTTCACGCATTTAAATCTTCCTACGTAATAATTCGAGTGGTGGTTTTTGATGGTATATGTAATAAATTACATTATCGATCAAAAATTGTAAAAATTGATCGATGTTATTTGATTTTTAGGAAAATTGGCAAGTGGTGTAGCAAACTTTTAACTGTTAGTATATACAAATAAATAAATGTTCGTACTATGTTCATGTATTTACGTTCTGCGAAGTAGTATAGTAAAAGGGTATAATATAAGAGCTTGGAAAAATAGAAGGGCTGTTGTAATTTATGCGAAGAGTTACGAAAAGAACTACTACCCTTTGCGATTAGAAACGTCTCGTTCGAACTTAAAAATGTGCTACGCCACTCGACAACGTGGTGTAGGAAAAAGAAATAAAGAGAAAGATGAGTGTTAGTGGAAGGTTCGTTATTCATTCAGGAGAAAGATAAAGCACAAACCACCACCCTCGTCGACCTCGAGAGGTAGCCGAATGGTGGGAGAAACTCCCAGGGGTGGTTTTGACGCCAGCAACGTGGCGTCTTCAACTACACTAAACTTCCAAACTCGCGACTCCGGCAACTTTAAACGTTGTCGTTCGAACGAGCTTAACTTTACAAACTTTCGATCACACGAGCTTCTCTTACCTACAAACTTCAGGTTAAGCTCGTTCTACCTACGTGATTCTGTACCTATGATGATTTTCTTGTCCACTTTGATATACTGGGTGGATATATTCTACTTGCTTTGGTTATTACAAATTTAAACGTCCCTTGTATGCGTAAATATAAAGTATACTTTAGAAGAAAACTACATTTTGCAAAATTTTATGCTATAAATCTTCAGTTATTGCATGCTGACAAAAATATGGGTCCATGATTTTAAATAATGGCCGTATAACAATTACGAATTTTGTATTTTGTATTTAAAAATACAAATCTTCCGTTATATAATAGTATTGTTAAAAAATATATATAATATCGCCGTTTTCTAAATATTTATTATTATTAACATAATCTAACCTCTATACGCATTGCGGGCCACTGCTAGTATTGTATAAAACACGAAAGAACGTGATTTTAATTAGGATTTGTCGTCATATATACACACTGCATCGTAAGAGAAAAAAAAAATGATAAAAAATATCAGATCCGATATCTCTCCGGTATCTTGAAAGATATCGAATTCCTGTATAGTTTGTGTTTTCTTAAGACACTTTAGCGCCTTCTTTGGCTACTTCCGATATTGTTTCATTGACGCAAAATGTTTTTAAGTTGGTTTTAGTTACTCAGTTAAATATATATATATATATATATATAACTATGAAAAGTATAGTCTTATCAGTCGCTCGTGCCAGCTAGATATATACGTTCAATTGTTATCTGTTAGTTACCTGTGTTTTACACCTTTACCAAAGAAGAATCGTTCCATTTCCTTCTTTTTCTTTTTTTTCTTTCTCATTCTCTCTGTTTTATAGCAACATTCTATTTAACGTAAGTAAACTAATTGTAATATATTAGTTTATTGTTATTTTAATTTCTTATTCAACTACAGTTAACATTTAACTAACAATAAAAGTTGTGACTTAATATAGGTTCGAGTAATTATATTTGGTAATCGTAGAAATTGTATAAAACAATTACTATAAATTTAATTATAATTTCATTAAATTTATTCTACAATACAATACTTTCTTAAAGCATTTAATGATACACTCTCTCTTCCTTTAATAACAATTATAATAAAATTAAACATAATAACAATTCTTAGCTTTATCTTTAAACGAATTAAAAACGTTGTGTGTCTGTTAAATTGTTTTTTTTATTTTTTTTTTAATTTAATTTTTCTTTTATAACTTATAATCCCATTATACGTGCAATACAATACAGAGTACTTTCTTGAACCAGACAATAATAATACTACTATCTTTCTCTTTTTCATTCTTACTATCTTTCTATCTCTTGGGACTATTCGAAATACTAAGCTGACTTGGAACCTTTACTAGACAGACACAAAAATAGTATATACTACTACCTATTCAACGTCAATACATTCGTAAAAGATCCTTATCGATGCTTCCTACTTTATATTAGAAAAGAAAGAATTGCGAACAATGGCATAAAAAAAAAAGAAAAATTTAATACCATCGGAAAACCGCACCGTACACAACAAGAATCAAACTCTTTCTACATTACATCTCAGCTAGTTGCGAAAATAAAAAATAGAAATCATGAATAAAAATAGTAAGAGAACAAACATTATTATTGCTATCGATGTAATCAAAAAAAAAATAATAAGAAAAAAACGAAAAAAAAATATGATCCGAGAGATTTCTCAAGGGAAAGATTCACGACACCGTAATTCTCTTACAAAATCATGAATAAAAATAGAAAGAGAACGAACGATATTATTGCTATCGATATAATCAAAAAAAAAAAAAATGAAAGAAGAAGATAATCCGAGAGATTCTCTCAAGAGAAAGATTCGCGACACCGTAATTCTCTCTCGCAAAACAGCCTAATTCGCATTTCCGGCGAGTTCGATAAATCGTCGAAAAAGAAAAAAAAAGGAGAAAAAAAAGGGTAAGAGACAAAAATAAAGAATGGAAAATAGGAGAGGATTGGTTGGTTKGTTGAAGAGTAGTCGAACGAGGGGTGAGGGAGGAGTGGAGAGGGGGTGGTCAGGCTTGAAGAATGCATCGAAATAAAAGAGAAGAAGAAAGCTTCCGATAATCTTTCTTCCCTCGTCGACCCACATTCGCGTTTTGCTGCTAGCTGCCCCGTCATCAAGGTGGAAACTTTTATCTCTCTCTCTCTCTCTCTCTCTCTTTGCTCTTTCTCACACTCTTCTCTCTTTTTTGCTCTTTTTCTTTGCTCTTTACTCACACTCTTCTCTCTTTTTTACTCTTTCTCTTTCTCTTTTTCTTTCTCACACTCTTTTGTCTCTTGTTTTTATATCTCACAAATACAAGCAACTCTCTCTCTCTCTCTCTCTCTCTCTCTCTCTCTCTCTCTCTTTCTCTTATTTTCGTTTATCAACGTAAGTAGTAGTAAGTAGTGTGGCAAACGACCCAACGAACTTGATATCTGTATGACAATGGTAGATACAAGTGAGAAAGAGAAAGAGAGATAGAGAGAGATAGAGATAATCGTGCCAACTGATTTTAGTTAGTTATCGATTAAACCTGACCCGGATATATCAGTGTCGCTTTGAGCACAAAACCGGTTAATCGAGAATTAATGGCACCCACGTCGAGCAATCCGCGTTACCAACGTGGAAATTCCTACTAATTCTTTTTTCTTTTTCTTTTTTTTCTTTTTTGCATCTTTTTCTTCCATTTTTTTTTCTTCCCTTCTTTTACCTTTTTATAGGTTTTTTGTTTGTTTGTTTGTTTTTTTTCTTCTTCTCAGCTCACACTGATTTACTGCACTTTGCTTTTCTCTATTTATTTCTCATTCTCTCTGTGCGTGATTCTCGTATCGTTATGGAACAAACAATGTTCTGAAAATGCGTACTTGATTAAGCCACCTACCAACCCTTCCTCCCTCCCTTGCGATACTTGATTTAATTTCAAAACAAGAATTTGAAAAAAAAAAAATTTCAAAAAGGTTGCTGCGCTGAAAAACCAGAGAGAAAAAGAAAGGCTAATTGAATAACGCGATAAATCAAAATTAAAATGATTGTTGTTCTTAATAACGCTAAATATACCATGTGTATGTGTGTGTGTGTATGTGTGTGTGTGTGAGAAAGAAAACATATACACGAAAGATCGGTTTTTTTTTAATTTTTCAAATATTCAATAAAAATTCTACATTCAACATTTTTTTGTTTTTTTTTTTTTAATTTGATTTTACGTAACTTCAAAATAATTCTAATTGTTATTCATTATTCGTGAGTTGGTACTTAATTGATTATTATACGTAATTTAAGTTAGCAAAGAATAAAAGTTTTGTTAAAGACAGGTCATTTGACTCCGACGTTAACTGATAAGAAAAGTTTTCCCTTTAATGTTTCAATATTTAATGAAAAAATTCTTTTGCTAATTATTCTTTTCTATTCTTTTTTCGTATTTTTTTTTTTTTCAACCAACTCACGTTACCCATTTCTTTTTCTGCCCCCCCCTCCCCATCTATACCTCTATCTCTTTCCTTCTCTCATGAGAAAAGAAAGGAGAATAATTGCAGAACTCTTTGAGTAAACACGTTCTTTCTTCTCTGGCGTGCTTTATTTCCTGTTAGCTCGCGCTTTTTCAAGGCTGGTTTCCTTGGTTAACCCCATGAGAGAGAGGGAGAGAGAGAAAGAGAGAGAGAGAGGGTCGACGACGTTATTTAAAATAGAACGCTTGGGGAGAATATTGCACACCGGGAGATTATAATTGACGAGAGAAATAATATTTAAAGAGAAAAAGAGAGACACTAGGTCTATATATAGAAAATGGAAAAAAATAAAGGAAGAAAAATGGAAAAGGTAAAAAAGATGGATCCTTTGTATGTGATAAAACAAAAATAGAACAAAAAAAAAGAAAATTATTGCACCTTTAAAAGGCGCCCTTAAAAACTCTGACGTACACAGATCACAATAATTATTCTAAGAAAAAAGAAAAAAGAAAAACGAATTGAATAAACAAAAATATGAAAAAGCTCGAGTTTCTTGTGTGTTAACAAAAAATAAAAAAATTATCCCTCTCTACGACGAAGTACTTGGATAAAAAATTATTGCATCTTTAAAAGGTTTACCCTTTTACCGTTGGCTCGATGAAAATGTTTATTCTTTTTATATATATATATATATATATAATAATTAAAAATATAAATGAAACAAAATAATGTTCTACTTTTAACGCGTTAACGATCAAGAAAATATTGTTTAACTATGGATACGTGTTACTTCGATACAAAAAGAAATTATGACATTTGTAAAAAGTCAACATTTTCAGTAGATAAAAAAAATTAAAATAACCAATGTGATGCTTTTTATATTAAACAATCAAGAAAGAATCTTCATTGGTAGAAGAAGCCTATTGGAGGTGAAGGAGGAGGAGTGGTTTCATCCTGGTGTAAATGTAGTGTGCAGTTAGTGGGAAACACGCTTTTACCAGAGCTCGTAGGTGTTTCTTTAGAGAAACAACATTAATAATACAGTTATGTAACGAGGCTCGAGCACACGAGGGTTATTAGTATCTCTGCGCTCCAGCCATGACGCCATGAATCGGATTTGCTGGACGTAATGTTATACATACACACATGCGCGCGCATACATATATAAATACAAATATACACACGCACATTCTCTTTCTCTTTCTCATTCTCATTCTCGTTCATATTCACTCATATATATATATATATATACATTCGTGTTTATTACACCTTAGAGAACAACGACGAGCTTGAAGGTAATTGGGTAGGAAAAGCTTTCCGGAAAACTCGTTTACACCTAAAAGAGCATCCCGAAGAATCTCTCTCCGACATACATCGTTAAAATCTCTTATTAAAGAAGAGAAATAATATCAACTGACACTATGAAACAAATGTATTACGCGTTGCTGTGGCTTTGTTATAAAATGTTGATTTAATATAATTCTAAACTATTTAATAAATTATAACGACACACAAAATAATATGACAATTACAATGGAATACATAAAATAATAATACACGAAAAAATAGAAAAAGGCAATACTATGTTGCAACAAATCATACAAAATAAAACAAATTTCATTAAGATCGGTTTAGTAGTTTCGAAGTTTTAAAGATGTATTTGTAATTTTAAATTTAAATTTATTTAACATTTATTGACAAAAAATTTGCGTTAATTTTATATAAATTCTGAGAAATAACGAACATTTAAATAATAACTTTTGTTAAAGTGCAAAAAGGAATATTAGTCTTCGTGTTAATTGGAAGAAACATCTGAGAATTATCAGATCCGTGTCTGTAGCCTTCGTAAAAAAAAAAAAAAAAAAAAATAATGGTATTGTTACAGGTGAGGAGTTGGTAACAGTGCCTCCGTCAAACGGAGGACAACAGCAGGAAGGTTGGAAGTTACAACAACAGCAGCAACAACGTCGTGGAGGACAATTGCAAACGGTTAATAAAAGAACGCGTCCGACCCCTCCGGTCCCGCCACCCCCGCCGTTAATATCTTGCAAGGTCAATGCCAAGGACATTGGCAAGTACTTCGATTGGCCGAACAAGGAGAACACACCTGGAAATGCGTTGAATCTTATTCATTCGAAGGGTAATAATAGAAAGGGAAAGGTTTTTGATAAGAAGGATAAAGAAAAAGAGGAAGAAGAAGAAGAGGTGGGAAAAGAGGAGAAAGAGGAGGAAGAGGAGGTGGCGGTGGTGGTAGGGAGGCAAGGTGAGGAGGAAAAAGAAGAAGAGGAAAAGGAATCGATCAACGAAATGGGCTCGAATCTCAGCAGACACAATGGCAAAGGCCTAACTGGACGTAGAACACAATCCTCGGGAAACTTATGCGAACCACCTAAGGGAAAGTTCAATGGTATGGGGAAGATTCTAGTGCCTTGCTCGAGCAGTTCTCAAAGAGAAAGGTCAGTTTTCTTCATCGATTTTCAAACACCCAATCCGATTCCTTCCCCTTCCCCCCACCCAAATGCACTACGTACATATAAGTAAACCTTACAAGCACGTTGTTCTTGCCTTTTATGTTAACCTCTCAAAACCTTTACTTCCTTTCTCTCTGTTATGGACCCTTTTTTTTTTTATTCCTTCTACGTTTTACGATAAGCCCAAATAGCTTTAGTATATGAATGTACGTATGTGCTGACTTTACTTCAAACAATAATGACCATAGATTTTTATTATCCAGTTGAAAGGGTCTTTATAGGTTCTTTATCGTTACAGATTCATATTGTTCAATAATATTTTTAGGGAACATATTTACTTTGTGGTTGTTAATGTTGAAACAAAATTATAGATAAATTTATTGCATTTATTATTTCTAATTTTGATAAAACTTTTGGTGAGATTTCCATTCGAATTATTACATTAAAAATATATTCAATAATTTTATGATCCAATAAAAATTAATATTTTATTATTATTTTATGGAGGGAATTAATTTAAAAAAAGTTTCAAAATTTACACACCACATGTTGCTTGTGACGAATTTTACTTAATCTTTTAACTGTTATAATAAAAATTCATATATGCAAATACATTTAAATATTATCATTTATTATAATTTAACTATTAATATGTTTTTTTTATGAAACTGTGTTGTTTAAAAACACTGATGATCATTCGGTACTTCTTCGTTGAACCGATAATACCATTTAGATTACTTTACTTTAAAAGCAATATTCATTATATGTTTTCTACCGAGAAACATTCATTCGTTCCCTGTCGCGAGATACGAGAGAGAGAGAGAGAGAGAGAGAGAGAGAGAGAGAGAGAGCGGGGAGAGGAGATTTTGGGTCGGCAAGATATCGTTGATGCTTTGAAATGACTAAAGGAAGAAAAAGAGTTAAACGATTATAAGAAAAAGAGTTGGAAGAGCACTAGTTAACGAGCAAACCAGGCTACAGCTAAACGCTTTTTCCTTTCATAACCGACATTTAATTGGTGTCCGATATAACGCGATTATGGTACTCTTATAATCGTCTGTATTTCTTTCGTTGCTTTCTCTTTATGTATTATTCGTGTTTATCTGATAATATACAAACCATAATCTAACATAAATTTATATTTGTAAATTACTAAACATTATTTTTCATTTAATCAACTTGTAAACATACACTTTTTATTATTTTTTTAGAATCAACGATACATTCGATATTTTACTTACAACAGCAGTATTACACTTTTTTTCTTATGATTTATTAATACCATAATTAAATAATTTCAAAATAATTTGTTTTTTTGGTATCAATAGAACCCAACCGTTTGTAGATTTTATTCGAATTGAAACACCCGATATGTTGCTTAGAAATAATTTCTTTTTCTTTTTATTTCTCTCTCTCTCTCTCTTTCTCTTTAAAATTTACAAACCGGAAACAGGTGGTAATTAAAAAGAATCTCGAATCGTGGTTTGAAGAGCATATCGCGAAAGAAATCCTTTCGGTGGTTTGTTCATCTTTTTATTCTACTCCTGAAACTCGACTTAATCACTTACCCCCCACAGTCCCCCCAAGCCCTCCCCCAACAAGATAAAAGGATTTTCAAAATGAATTTCGCGTAACAAATCACGCAATCTTTTCAATCAACTAATATTATTATTATTATTATTTTATGTGCTTACGTACAGAGAACGAATAATAATAGTGTTTACTGATGTATAATATATATATATATAATACCATAATTTATGCATTTACGTTTCACGATAAATTAATAAACTAATTTATAACATAATCGTATACGATGATTAAGGTAATATTAAATTAAATCGTATTTATGTTGGTCAAATTGTTAAATCGTATTTCATTCGTTCTCTCTGACAAATTTATATTTTATTTATTTGTTTTATTTTTGTTTGTTTGTTTGTTTGTTTTTTTTAATTATATAATAATCATTTCAAATATATCTAATTAAAATTAACATACAAACTATAATGTAGTATTAATAATATAATTTAGTACGTAATTCTCTATTCGGTGGATATTAAAGTGTACATTATTAATTATCTTCAATACATCACATTTTATAATTTTTTTAATATTTTATATTTATTAATTACGATGCGTTAGTATTGCGTTGTTAACTAACATATATATATATATATATATATAGAAGGTAAGGGGTAGGGTAATATCGTATTTCCTGTTAAATAAATATCATCTAGCGAAACGTTGAGGCCGGCGCCAAAGGGCGTCTGGATTACGGCGCGTCATTTCACATGCCAGTGATTTCCCGGCGTCGCGTCTCTCGGAAAATCCTGAACAATCCCCACAGTGTTGTGTTGCTTAAATAACCGAGGAGAGTAACACAACAGCACAAGCTTCTCCTTGTCAGTGAATCCCTACTCTTTCTCTTTCTCTCTCTCTCTCTCTCTCTCTCTCTCTCTGGTCAGTAGATAATTTAAAGTCCCTTTTAAGGTTGGCCAGTCACCACGAACTGGGACAGCTTCCTCTATTAAAACCTCGTTTACACGAAAATGTTTCACGTTAAAGGTTTTACGTCAGTAGAGACTAAATAGAAGAGAATTAAATGATATTATAGTTATTCCATTCTCATTTGTCCTAAGTGATGATTATCCAAACATAAAGGAATAACAATGTCCTTTTTTATGCGCAACTTTGTTTTATGTTTATTATAATATAATAATGTTTCTATAATATAATTAGAAGAGAGAATTTGTACAATATAACAGCAGGTACAAGTTTTGCGGCTCATTACCTAACCATTTGGACGACAAGGATGTCTTGGATGACGAACGGAGAGATAACAATAACATCATGTCGGATACCATTAGCGGAAACCTCGGAGGAACGCTACCGCACAAGAAACGATCCTTGGGAGTTCATTTCTCTGACGGTGGACCCACTGGTGCTTTGGATCTTGTTAAACATCGATCTCAGGATTCCTTGGACGAGAACGATCCCTGGAGGTAAGAAAGATGTTTTAATTAAAACATCTAAGTATCTTAATAACTGTTTCACCATTTATACAACACACAACTTTCCTACTGAACATAAACATCGCAAACAAGAATTTCTAAGCTAAAACAAGTGATATCATTTGATACCAAATAGGTATCAACAAAGTGATTTGGACCTAGTCAGATGTCGTCATGGAAATTTTGACTCGGTTAGAAGAAATCGTAGCGTCGAAACGATGATCAACGAAACTAGTAGCAGACGTTACAATCGTGGAACATCAATGGAAGATAGATGTCAACGTAATTCTGACTTGGATTTAGTTGGTACGCTACCAAAACGCAAACAGGAAATACGTAGTATTTTGAACAAAGGTCTTGATACAACAAATTCATCGAGTTCTCAATTTGTTACGAACAAATTCGACGTTAGTTCCTCGGACGACGATTTATTAATGCGAATTGTACATAAGCCGGATTGTGAATTGGTGAAACATCGACAACAATTAAACAAGTGCGTTGACCTTAAACTTAGCAAGCTAGTTGGTGCTACAGGAGAACCACAGGATCAAGGATACGCTTCTGAACGTTCGCCCGAGGACGAACATCCTCCTTCGTTGCCTGGACAACCATTTCCGAGTATAACACCCGGTAAGCAAGTGTCCTCCACTTTTTCTTATTCTTCTCCACCTTGTACTTCTACTTGCTACTGCTACTACTACTATTTCTTCTTTTTTATCACTTTTTTTTTCTTTTTTATCTTTCTTACTCCAAGGAAACCTCCTTTATTCTCCTTTCCATTGCCTACAGCTTTGTTGAGTTCTCTATATTTCGTAGCATTAAGTAGAACAGCCTAGAGACACAATAGCCAAGGAAAGAACATATTTTCCATCTTTCTTTTTCTTATTTCTTTTTCTTTTTTTTCTTTTTTTTAAAACTACTACAGTCTTAGCTCACCAAATTTCGTAGTCTCTTTCTTACATTTTGATTTATAATGTTGAAATAAAGAAATGTATTCTTTCTTTCCATTTTCTCTCTCTCTCTATCTATCTATCTATCTATCTATCTTTCTCTTATCTTTCCTTTTATATTTTTTATTTCTTCTTCTTTCTTATATCTACGTCTTTTTACGTGTGTGCATAATTTGACTTGGTGAATTTGGAGGTAAAAATTTGTACAAGTTCTCTTGTATAATGTAATAAATCATTCACAATTTTCATTTCAACATTTTCTCGCTTTGATTGTTCATGCAAATGATGGATAATGCGGGGAAAATGCAATGACTCATTTCGGTTATATTATACATTATCAAAAAATATATAATATTATAGTATAATATTATAATATTATATATATTTTAATATCAATTTTTCATATATTTGATATAAATCCTTTAAAGAGAGAATCAACGAGATTTACTTGTCGATAAACTTGTCGATAGAAAAAGCGTGTATAGCAGGTGGTAGAATGATGTTTTGGAATCGTCGAGAAAATCGATAGAATAAATGGCTCTTTTCTTAGATGCCTGCTTGCCTGCTTACTTGGTTTTAGAGATAGAAAATATATCGGTTAGAAAATACCGATCGTATTATAATACGATCTGCAAAATTCGACTATCCCCAGATGTTGCATTTCTGTTTCGGAATTTACCACTGCGAACGTTTTCTTCTTATCCAATTTTTTCCTTATATAATAATATTTGTGAACAATTTTCTTTTTTCTTATACAAATAAATACAAAATTATATTAAACATCAAAAATTGTTCATTCGTTTTTGAAATAAAAAAAAAAGAGAGATCCTACGATCAAAATTACATGCCATACATTTTTCATTCTTTACTAAAATATGAATAAAAAAAAAACAATCTCCTGTAGTCGTGTTATAAAAACCAAAATATATATATATACAAAACGTGTAATAAGTCGATGTATCTCATTTTATACAGGACGTATTCTATTTTCCATTTTCCATAAAACGTTGTCGAAAAATGGTATCGATCGATCGACAGGAAAGAAAAGGACGTACGTTTAACGTCAAAAAGCCGATTTGCGAGACGTCGTTTTAAATCCGCGAGATAGGGCTTTGAATTTTCGAAAGTTTGACAGGAAGAGAAAAGGTAGATGAGTTTGTTCGGTCTCTCCCTCTCTCCCTCTCTCCCTCTCTCCCTTTTTCTCTCGTTTTCTCTGTAACTGTAAACAAGGGAACGGAAGCAGTGTGGCGTCCTTCCAATAAAACAGGATTTAGCGCGGACGAACAATCCTCAACGGAGAAAAGTTCTATTTTATACTTGAATAATCTGTACCCTTTTTCGGATTGCCATATATAACAATAGGAACGAACAAGAAAATTGAGGAGAGAGGGAGGAGGAGGGGATAGGAAGGGAGGTGAGGAGAACCGGGTAGAGGTAGTACACAGACGGAAGGGTTGATTGAATTTTTCTCGCAAACTGCTTTTGACGATACTTCGGGGAAAATTCACAACCAACGATTCTAATCCGTTTGAAATAAAAACGAACTGAAGATAAAGAAAAAACGGGGAAATAGAAAAATGTTCACTCAGTGAACATTTTCAAGTAAATTTTTCTCTACAAGATAAAGATGACCACTTTGGGTCCTATAAAACGACGATATTCTCGCATACAAATACACATATGTATAGATATTTAATAAACACATATAAAATGAAATAAATTTTTATTTCATTCGCAATTCAATTTGGAATTATATTAAATAAACATTCTGTAACAAAGCCACAGTCACGTGTAGCCTGTAGTATCTTAGTAAAATTATAAAATTAATAATTACGATATATTTAATCTTATTATTTCTAAGACTTATTAAATAGATAAAATATTTCAGAAAGATAAGTTGAAGTTAAAAGATCAATTGTTTTCACAGTTCTTAGCACGATGAAAAGCAACAAGAGAGTATTCAAGAGCGCAAACTTTCAATAGACTCGCTTCGTATAATCTTAAACACACGGATATACTTGTATATATATTTTATACACACACACACATATACACACTCGTACATAGGCATGTACAAAAGGAGACACTCGAAATTCGATTTTCTCTCAACGTTTTCGGATTAACAGCAAGTCGATCTTCAACGTCGAAGTTTCAACGGTCTGTTATTATCTTCGCATCAGTGCTCCTTCTAAAGATGATAACGTTCCGGAAGCTGTGCTATCCTAAACTGTCTCTCTCTCTCTCTCTCTCTCGTTCATCTTGTGCTTTTGCTCTTTGTAGTAACGAAAGGAAGCACTTCTCGTGACAAAAATTGTTCGTTGCTTGCGCGAGCGTACGAGTGAGGGAAAGGGGTTGGTGGGGTGGTTGGTCGGGTCGAGCTTTAAAAGAAAAGCTTTTCAACCTATAAGAGAGAAAGTTATTCTCACCCCAGCCACCTCTTTCCTTTTCTCTCTCCACCATTTTAGACAGACGACCCTAACTTTCTTACCAAACTTTAAACTAATACTCTTCTTCTTTTTCCTTTTTTAAGTTTTGCTACTAGAAAAAAGATGCGAAGAGACGTACGAACGAAAAAGATGCACGTTGAAATTGAATCGAATGAGATGAAGAAGAAAAAAAAAATCCATCGATCAATTTTGATCGATCGAGATTCTTCATCGTTTTTTTACGATTGATGATCGTATTTGTATTATTCTTCGATATGAAATTTTCTTCGATCGAGATTTACAATACTTTAGGAATTATTATTGATCGATGATAAATCAAGAAAAAGAAGAAGAACAAGAACGAGAAGAAGAAAATGATGAGATGATTATGATCTATATATATATATAGTTCATATATCTCCTTCTCAAATGCCGAAACTTTAAACTACATCCTTGCAAGTTGAGAGGAAACTTTATGAGATAATAAGGGAGCCGTTTGTGGTTTCCACTGGGTTTAGATTACTAGGCTATAAATTATTGTCAACCTAATCTATCTCTCTCTCTCTCTCTCTCTCCTTCTCTCTTTCTCTTTCCCTCTTTCATTCTCACACACACTCTCTCTCTCTCTCTCTCTCAATGTGACGGGGTTGCTTTTGTAAACATTGTGCATAGGAACGAAATATTCTAACCACCTAAACGTGCATAGTAGACAAATGAAACTGCGGATTACCAAAACGTGACGCCATAACTGCAATGAAACTAGAAACGGAGACGACCGTACTCTCGGCTCGATATAGATCAAAACTAGAATGCCAAATTTAAGCGAATCATGTCATCGCGTCCAACATGTTTTCGTTCAAATAGGAAACCATTTTATATATATATATATATATATATATATATATATATATATATATATATATATATATATATATATATATATATATATGTGGTATTTTATTTGATTTTTCATTGGAAAAATAAATGAACATTTTTGTATACGTATTTCAATTTTGGTTCAAATAAAAAAAAATCGTTCCATTGTAAATTTATTTTTTATTACTTTTTAAATAATATAAAAGAGAACGTCTGTCTTTTCGTTTGACACATGTTTTGGTTAAAACACTTTTTGCTTCAAATAGTAAAACTGTTCTACACATTTTATTGTATTTTTCGTTGTAAACATAAAAGAGTATCTTTTTGTTTGATTTAAGCTCTGGTTGAAAACATTTTGGTCGAAATAGAAATTCATATTCTATATTTCATTTAATTCTATTTGATATTATTTTCTATGAGAACTAGAAGAAGAGAAAACCACTTCATATATTTTATTATATCGTATTTTCTCTTAAATAAATAAAATAAAAGAGAGAACGTTTTATATAGTATGGGTACAATACTCGTTGAAAGTTTGGCACGTAGAAAATATGAAAGATCAGCGTTAAGATCGAGACACTCCTCCTCTTGTTCAATCGCTGACGTAGTAGTACCTTTTCTAAGTCAAGAATCTATGTATTCTATGTATTATTGATCTTGGAAGAGAACGGATCGCCTTATTTCGAAGTGGGTCAGCTTCGCTCGTCTCACTTATTGACCCGTTTATTCGGGATAGGGTCAACCATGATGTTTCAGTTTCGGTCCGTCCTTGCTCACCCTCACTCACACACATTCCTACATACTCTCATATATGTACCCATAATTATGAAAGTGTAGTCTCCAAGTCAAAATTTAACAAAACTAAGTTTATCAGTTATTTCACACAGCACATTATTTTAAAGTAAATAAATTCAACATAATTTTCACGATATTGTTCCAAAATTAATCGTTAGATAATGTTTAAATACACCCTAATAATCATACTCGAACGTTTCTTTTTTTCTCATGTTTATCTTCCTTGAAGATGATACATCGTTCTAATTCCTCCACCTACGTTTATCGCTGATTCAATTTACACATACACAGAGAGACAAAGACACATGTATACTCGCATGTGTAAGCATAAAATTATATCGCATGTTATGGAATTTTCGAAGCTGTTTGTTAAGAAAGAAAAGAAAAAAAGATAAAATCAACGTACAAAACGTTGAATGAATACGAAGAAGCATGGCCAAAAACGATTTGCATAATCCCGTTGAAACATTAAACGTGCATTTTTGGTTTTCCAAAGAATACCCTACTGTGAGAGGAGGAGTTTTTTGTGTGCGTTTTCTCTCTTTTACATATTTCTTGTTTTTTCTTTTTTTTTTCCTTTCTT